GATCATGTGACACTGAAGACTGGAGTAATGATGAAAATTCAGCTTCGCATCTATTTTAAAGTATATTTAAATTTAAATGTACTGTTTTAGTTTTGCTTAATGTGAAAGCACGCAGGTGATGGAGATTTACCGCTGATTACAGACCGGCTTTACTGATAAGATGCGCGTTAAATATCGCATGCTATTAATCGTGCAGCCCTAGTATTTTCTAAAGTAACTTTCCATCCCTGATGATAATTTTAATAATAATAATAATAATAAAGATTTAGAAGCCATAACTAACATTATTTACTATACAAAAGCTTATAACTTTTGACCAATAGGGGCGCTGTCACCAAATTGAAATGACATTGTCAAGACATTTGTTTAAAAAATGGGTATCAATGTATTGTGTATGGCCCAAACTTTTCCGTTACCTCAGGACATGCTGCTGATTTTTTTTTGACAAAATGACATTTTACGACAAAATTCTAAATGGCTGACAGCCAATATGGCTGACCCATGATTTTAGGCCAAGGTTCAAAAGATGTAAAAATATCAAGGCCAATGTAAATGTAGTTTCAGAACATTAAAAATGGCTGAATAAAGTTGGACGATAATTTAAAAGAGTTATTTGACCCAACATAACCCACAAAATCAGATTAGATTTTCATATTCGATTGATTGATTGATTGATTGATGTTGTATTCTGAAAGTTTTCTTTGAATAGAAATTATTCTTGTATAGTATAAAACTTGCTGGAAAGCCATGTCGGCTAATGTGTGATTCATGAGCTCTTTTGAGTTGATTCTTTTTAGTGAATCAGTGGACTGGTTCACAGATCATCTGGAGCGATTCATTAGCAAATCAATCTTAAATCTTGAATTCTTTTTTAAAAAGAAATATTCATATCCCGTAATCAAAAACAGCAGGAAAGGTCATGCAAATGGTTTGAAGGTGTGGGAACCTTGTCTCAAAACAGATCTTGTAGTTCATTGCACACTTAAATTACACACTCAGATGATTTTACTTGTAATTTGCATTTGGGACAACCAGCATACAACTTTCTCCTGTATAAGCTGCATATGTGTGTCATCTTGGCAGGCCAGTGTCTTTAAATCTATCCCATCCAATAAGCACAGGTTGGTATGATAGAAACCAGATGCACTTAGGCTAATGTTCCTAATCCCCTTTTACATGGTTCTCATAGCCCTGGGACAATGAGGTGAACAGCACTGTCCCATGGTGTTCTCAGATCAGATGGATGCCAGTGTGCCGCCCCCTGCCTCGGTTTACTCCAGATTTAGTCCGGTGGTAATTAATCTTGTGAACAGATCTGTATTTTACACCTTGATTCTCCTCAGGGACCTGCAAATATCAGCGACGCTGGAGCAATAGACCTTCATGTGCTCAGCTCATGTTACGAATAGTGCTTTGTGGGAAAAATCACTTGATATCTGTGTCATTCTTGTCTTTTTTTCCCTTTCTCACCTATTTGATCCAGTGTCTTTGAGTGGTGGCTGTGTTAGAGATGTACTCGCCACAGAGGAAGGACTTTGTCTCTCTGACGCTGGGAGACCAACACAGCCGCAGCTACAGCAACGGCAAGCACCGGAGACAGTCCTGCTGGAGGGTTAGTGGCTGGGTATTTTCTTCTTAAAATGCCATCTAAACCTTGTTTTGCAGGACAGAAATATGGACCATTATGTATTTTTCATTGATTAACGATGATGTTCGAAGGCTGATGGCTTCTGCCTCTTTATTTGTTTGTGTAAATGAGTGCCATTTTCCCATCTGCGAGACGTCTTGACATCTATTTAATATTCTGAGAACAAAATGCTGGCACTGTAGTTGTCATGTTTAGTCCTAGCCAAACCAGAGGTGTCAAAGCCCTTGTTTTTTCCCCTTTTTCATGTCAACATATTCTGTTACACCAAATACACAAAATAATGATCTTTAAAAAAGCATCATATGACCCCTTTAATCTACTAAATTGTTTATACTTAATTATCTTCAAAAAGCAGACATGCACTCCGTGCTTAGCTGAAACCCACTTGTTTTGCTTGAAAAAACTAACCTTTTAATTTAAAAACGTAGCTTAAAGGAACTGACAACTCAAAAATGAAAATTCTGTAATGCTATTATGTAGTCACTGTCATGTCTATCTGTTTTTTTATTTTTTTGGGAACCCAGAAGGAGAATCTTGTTCATGCAACACCAGTTCAATGGCATTTAAGCTTCAAAAAAAGACATACAAACACTAAAAAATGCAAACAAAGAATCACATGACACTCAAAACTGAAGTAATGTCAACTGAAAATTCTGATTTGATATCATAAATTACATTACAAAATACTACTGTTTTTACTGTGTTATTGATCAAATAAATGCAGCCTTGGTGAGCATAAGATACTTCTTTCAAAAACATTAAAAAGTCCAACTGACCCCAAACGTTTGAAAGGTAGTGTATCTAATTTTTGTTTCACAGAAGAAAGAAAATGATGCAGGTTTAAGGAAATTAATGAATTTTTTTGAGTGAGCTATCCCTTTAATGTCTTCCATTATCTGAGATTCATGTCGATTGAGTTAATTAGATTGATTAAATTATAAAGAGGTCTGTACTGAGAGAAAATTTCTTTTGAGTGAGGGAAAAATCATACTTTTGTTTCCATGTTGCTTTATTTTTATAGCACTATATTTGGCAGTCATTGTGATTGCCACATCAAGCCATCAAGTGTAAAATTGCTGCACTTTCCTCCAATTGTCCTTGAATTGTTTGTGTTTGTTTTGGCAGAAATGGAAGCAGCTCTCTCGGCTTCAGCGCAGCCTGTTTCTTTTCCTGCTGGCCTTCCTGTTCATCTGCGGGATTCTTTCCTATCCCAGCCTGACAGAGCAGTGGAGAGGTACTTCATACAGCCCCTTTAATGACATTTCACAGGATATGAAAGGTGAACGCACAAAAGGTGGATGATTGGTACAACCTCTGCCCGTTTATATTAGCTGCTGAGGTAGACGTTTTATTAAACATCATGCCTTTTGCTGTTAATAATTCACATGGGATGAATTTCTGTCTGTTTATTCTCCAGGACTCTCTGATAGATCGTTGAAGGAGGACTGGGTTGAAATGGATAACAGAGGTCTCAGGCCCATTCCTCCTGGCCTCGTCCCAAATCTCCCACCAGGAGTTGTCCCGGGGGTCCAGGACATCCCACCAGAAGTGATGCCGGAAATTCAAAGACCAAGCATTCCATTACTTCCCAAACCTCCAGCTATGGTAAGTAGGAAGACTTCTCAGATATTATGGATATGTAAAATAGTATGGTTACTTTATAATTTATCTACTCGTTTGCAAAGGTTTTTACAGCTCCTGCTGAAAAGATCAGCTTAAACCTTAAACAAGAATTGTGCTGTAAAATGCATTATTTTCTTCATTCAAAATATTTTTTTCAATAAATAAATATTATTAAAATTAGTATTATTATATTAATAAATAAAAATTTCAGTTGTTTCTAAATTCAAAATAAAAGCATTAACAATTTCATATTAATAATGCATATTTAGTAAATCATTTAAAAGATACAAAGATTGATTTATATAAATAAATATTATTTATATTAGTATTATTATATAATTATATGAAGTTATTAAATAAAAAAAATACTAAAAAAGCTACAGATTAATAAAAAAGCTAAAAAAAAAATACAATTATTTTTAAATTCAAAATAAAATGAATAAAAATAATTTAATATTAATAACAATTAAATATATATATAATATTAAGTAATTTAAAAAGTTATTTAAAAATAAATAAATTCATATTAATAGTAATAAAGAAACAAATTTAAAAAGCCAAAAAAAACTTTTTCTAGTATTTCTAAATTCATAATAAAAAATAGAAACGAATATTATTTTAATATTAATATATTTTAATATTATATTAATAAAGTAAACCATAACCATGCTGATCCAAGCACATTAATTCACCTAATTTATAAGATACTAGATTAAAATGATAGATTCTACTAGATTATTCACCTACTCTTGTCTTTTTATGTTGGGTGGTTTGAATTTGCAGAGGAAGCCCCCTAGCAAGCGTGGTCCTCCAGCCCTACAGAAGCGAGGGAATGTGTTAGACTGGCAGGTGAAAGATGAAGAAGCAGCCACGGTCAAGAGAGATGAAGACGGAGGGAAAGAAGCAAAAACAGTCATTAGGTTTGGTCTGATTACATTCAAGAAATGAGGCCACTTTTATATGAGAGTTTTGATAATGATGATTTGCCTAGGATTAGACATTGACAATTATTTGTTGTTGGCTTAGTATTTAACCTTTTGAATAAGTAGAGGTATTAAAGCTCAGACAGTAATTATGATTTTTATTGGCGCTTATTGCTATTAGTCTCACTCACACACTTGGGGCTCCTTACAGTGACAGAAAGCATGCTAAACATATCAAAATATCACATTTTTTTGTTCCGCAGAAGAAAGAAATGTGAGAGTGAGTAAATAATAACAGAATTTTCATTTTAGGATGAACTCTCCTTTTTAGAAAAAGCAGAGAAATAACCAACAGGAGCTGAAGATAAACACTCGGGTGCAGTGCTAGCTCCCCAGGGAAGAGTTTATTAACAGTTGAGCTGGTAACACAGTGGTTTTGAAGTGAGTTGTGATGAGCCTTCATTTCCTCCAGCTGTGTCCTGTTGCGGGACTCCACCTCCTGCTCGTGTGTAATTGCGGTTATATTCGTGAGGCATGTGGGAGGAAATGGTGCTATTACAGGTGATGGGTTGGATCTTAGATAAACTGCTGTCACAACTGATCCAGTTTTTGGATTCCTAGCTGGCGTGGGGCGATGATCGAGGCGGAGCAGGGGACGGAGCTTCAGTCCACTGCACATGGAAAAGAAGGAACTGTGGCTGATGCCGAAGATTCTGCCAGCTTAAAACCAGGTATCAGAATTCATCCCACAATTTGAGGTATTTGTCTTTGCAGGATTACGTGCCGAAGTTTGGCTTGTGCTTAAGATCAACCGTCACAGACATGTGATCATCTTCTCAATATTTTTCTGTGACTTATTTGTTGTACTCATTGGTAGTGAAGGCCGTGGATCGTGTGGAGGCGGTGCGGGAGGCCTTCAGGCACGCATGGAATGGCTACAAGGCTTTTGCGTGGGGTCATGATGAACTGAAGCCCTTATCTAAGACCCATGGAGAGTGGTTCGGCCTGGGCCTCACTCTCATAGATGCACTGGACACCATGTGGATCTTGGGACTGAAAGACGGTTAGCCTTATAATCGCAGTTCTGTCTGCCAGTCTGTTTCATGACCACTGTGTGCAAATTTCAAATCTATTCTTTGTTTTCTTTCCAATTGTCAACATGAGGGTGTTTCTTCAGCCACAGGCACTTTTAATTCCCAGAAGTTGATTTTTATTAAAAGTGACAGTTTTAAACTTTTTCTTTCTTTTTTCTTTTTTTTCTTTTATTGCTACTTTTCAGATGGCTTTTATTTATGAATTTTATTACTTTTGTCTTGCAATCTTAAAATAGGAAAATCCATCCATAAAAATCCATTTTGTTATTTACTGTGTGAAAATTATAAAATAAAAAAAAACAAATACAGTGTCAGTGAAGTGCATTCTTGAGATGAAATATGAGATGTGAAAAGTGAAGAAAATAAAGAAAAATCAAGGTAAATAATTTTACTTGCATAAAATGTATTTTTATTTCAAAAATTGTATTGCGTGTCATTTCCCATCAAGCTGCAATTTTTTAGAAATGTTCCATATTCTTTCAAAGAAAACTAGGATGACCATTGCACTCTTTCAGACTAAAAAGCATTTATTATCTGATGGCTACATACAAAAAAAATCTAAAAAACCTTATTTCCATATTCTTTGTTGGACATTGTTAGTAGATAAATGTAAATAAACTAGAGAGTGTGTTTTGAAAAAGTCACTTCAAATAATAATGGAAAAATTATATTTTTTCTTTATGTCCCTTCTTTTGCCTTTTCCCCTCTCTCTAATTCTTTCTGTAATAGAGTTTGCCGAGGCCAGGAAGTGGGTTGAGACAGAATTGTTATTTTCCAAGAATGTGGACGTGAATCTTTTTGAGAGTACCATCCGTATATTGGGGGGTCTCTTGAGCACATACCACCTGACCGGAGACACTCTCTTCCTGGATAAAGCTGTAAGTACTTCATATCTTAGTATCATCTCCATTATTATTCTTTTTTTGTCCTAGTAAATGCAAAGTATAGCCTTAAAGGTTTACAGCTTTTGGCTCATACAGCTAAGTCATGTGATGCAACAATTTTAATAGACCACAGACCTCAATACATGTTGTGTCTCTTTTCTTGCAGCAAGACATTGGGTCCAGATTAATGCCTGCCTTCAAAACCCCATCTAAAATCCCCTACTCTGACGTGAACATTGGTAAAGGAACTGCTCACCCTCCACGCTGGACCACAGACAGCACAGTCGCAGAGGTGACCAGCATTCAGCTGGAGTTCCGAGAGCTCAGCCGACTCACAAAGGACCCGCAGTACCAGGTTCTTTATTTTTATTATTGTATTAATATTATTTCACAGTTTTATTTTTTTTATTTAAATTTTAATGTATTTAATTTTATAAATTTTCACATTTCAAAATATTTAAAAGCTTTGCCTATTTTACTTTATTACTTTATTTTATTTATTTATTTTTATTTTATGTCTTCCTCGGTTTTCAGAATGCAGTGGAGGAGGTGACCAGACAGGTCCACCGACTGGAGGGAAAGCGTGATGGTCTGGTGCCCATGTTCATCAACACAAACAGTGGGAAATTCACACGTCGAGGGGCCTTTACGCTGGGGGCCCGTGCGGACAGCTACTACGAGTACCTGCTCAAACAGTGGCTGCAGGGTGGCAAGAAAGAAACTGAGTGAGTTAACAGCAGATAAAAATGCAGCTTTGGCTGACGGTTCATAAATTCAGCGCTTAGCCCGAGTGTCAATAGCCCATTGGTGCTTTTAGCTAATGGGTTCCAGGGAATTGGCGATGCTCACTGAGCCTAATGTACTGAGGTTATGATTCTGGTCACAGATGGGGTGATATGATTGATTCACATTTAGGGTTGGGTACCGAAACCCGGTACCATTATATCACTGGTACCTATGTAACCGGTATGTACTAGAACCGAATCCGAACGCAGATTTCGGTGCCATGCCTGAGCGATCGATTGAAATATTTGTTCTCTGGTTCTCCGAAACGGACATAAGAAGCATCATCACTGGCACCGCACGTGAAAAATAATTTCCCGACTGAGAAAATGCACGTGAACTCAAGTCGGAAAGCTCTAATAATACAAATCCAACACATCTTTGTAGTAACGAGAGTGTCCATGTTGTTTTCACATTCCGACTTAAAAGCACAACTCGGGAAATGAGAGCATCCGAAGAGGGCGTGAATGCAGTAATTACACTTGCTCTGATGGCAGCAGGTAGCCTCTAACACTAGCATTCTCTATTCTTTCTCTATTCTTTCCACTTATTTTCTTTTTATTTATTATAAATAATTACCTTTTAACACTAGCATTATCTGTTCTTTTTCTGTTCTATTGAATTTTTATTTTTATTTTAAAATGACCCTCTAACACTAGCATTCCCTATTCGTTTTCTATTCTTTCTACTTGTTTTCTTTTTATTTATTTTAAAAACAAAATAAGCAAACACACAAAAAAACTGCCCCCTACTGTCCTTTTTTTCGATCCCTATTCTTTCTACTAGTTTTCTTTTTATTTATTATAAAAACAAAGCAAACAAAAAACCTTGCTACGTATACTGTCAGGTGAAGCCCCACCCACGAACCCCACCTCCTACTGTCCTTTTTTTGGAAAACTAAAATATGGTCACCCTATTATAAATATACTTAATTATTATAAAAATACCAGAGATGGCTTAAATAACACCGATAAACTATACTGTCGCAGTCGAGTGTTTATTGTCTTTGTTTTATCATTCAAAACGTTTATATGTTCTGTTTACTCAGTTACAGATATAATAGCTATGCCTTTGTCCATATAAGGGATTTCCTGGAGGGTCATGAGTTCTCTACTTCTGTGACTGGATATGTGGATTTTCTGTGCGAGGGCGCCCTCTGGCGTCCAGTATGAATGAAACAGACATCATGTGTTTATAGTGCTAATGACCAATCCATCATTTTTGGGGGGAATTTTTATTTATTTATTTTTTAATAAGTATCGGTTTAGGCACCAGAACCGTTTTAAAAGTATCGATTTGGCACCGGTATCGAAAAAAAAAAAACGATACCCAACCCTATTCACATTGTCAGTCAGTGACAGGGTGAATTGCACTGGGAAGGGAAAAAAAAGACTGAGCATGTTTTAATAGTTACATAAGGACTGCTTTTTGAAACCCATAGACATGGTACAGGGCATTTGTATTAATCTTGAAAACCTGGAGGTCACTTCAGTGCTTTCACTATTAGATATTTTATTCTGATGTCTTAGTTGTTTCTTGGTGGAATTCGTTTTAAGAGGTCTTAAATTATATTTTGTATTTCAAGTGCAGATGGTTCTGTTTGAATGTCACCGTCTGCTCTCTAGCACTTAAAAACCTCTTGTGAATTAGAAGAAAGGTGAAGTGTGTCATTTGTGCGCATTAGAAACACCAAACAGTCACAAAAAATAATGCCCGTTTTCAAACAGGCTTTCTGAACTGTCAGCCATTGGACAGTCAAACAGACCCATGCCAAACTCACACTATTGGTTGATCCAATGTTGCTCAACGTATTTTAATATATAAAAAAATCAGTATACTAATGCAATAAATTTTAACTGAATTTCCTGCATCACTATTACGCATGGTTGGGTATTAAGTAGGGATGCACAGTGTATGTGTGTGTATATATATACAGTAGGTACGGAAAGTATTCAGACCCCTATATATATATATATATATATATATATATATATATAAAACAATTATTTATGTTTTTGTAGTGTTATTATAGGATTATAATATATTATGCTTTTTTTTACTTGTATTCATTGCTGTGCATATTTATGCATTATACTGATCAGTATCAGTTGATATTTGAAATACATCAGACAATATTGGATATTTACCCCTGCATTCTCATTTTCACTATTTTTACATTTAGATTACCTTTGCCATCATTTAACGCCTGCAAATAATTTAATAACAATTTATTTTATTTTTTTATGAAATTTAAAAAAATGAATATCCATTTTTTATAACATTGTACTTTTATACCATTTATGCACTATTTTTATACTCTTCATTATAATATTAATATGCCTAAATTCACTTGTCACATTTAAAATGATTGATTTTATGTTTTAGTGTTTTATTTATTTAGTCAAAATAGTATTGAATTGTAATATCGGACATTTATAAGTCATCAAATAATTCATTATCAGCTTGTTGTATCTCCACATAACTCATCCCAGACATGAATGACATCTCAAATTGTTTGGATTGTTTTGAGGAGAGAAGTCCTATTACTTTTATAACCAGCTGAACTCAAGTTTTGTTGTCTAACTGACAGTAAACGGGTGAAAAAGCCCCTGTAAGACTGCGCAGCATCATGACAACAACTGTCACAGGCATGTTTTGCACATGTCCACCATTAGGGACGATGCCAAGGTGCCTTCGCTTCTGGCGAAATGCGACATCAGCCATTTTCTGCATTTGACAGGATGTTATTCTGTCTTCCTGTTCTCTCTGCCGGTGCGATTCAGGTTCTGTTGAGCTTGACGAGTCATTGTCATTCACGTCAGTGCTTCTGCTCACACCTGAGTCTCGTCCTGCTGTGTTGACATCATATACACTTGCTTCTCGCTGATGTTATTTTTTTCATAGGGTTTGGTTTTGAATAATTAAATAAAAAGGTGTTCAGTGGGGTTCAGTAGACACTGACTCTTAAAGGGGTCATATGATGCTGCTAAAAAGAACATTATTTTGTGTATTTGGTGTAATGAAATGTGTTTATGCGGTTTAAGGTTCAAAAAACACATTATTTTCCACATACTGTACATTATTGTTTCTCCTCTATGCCCCGCGTCTGAAACGCGTAGAATTTTACAAAGCTCATCGGTCTGAAAAGCGAGGTGTGTTCTGATTGGCCAGCTATCCAGTGCGTTGTGATTGGCTGAATACCTCAAGCGTGTGAAGGAAATGTTACTCCCCTTAACATACTGTGATATGTAACACTCCAAAGAGAAAGTAAAACTTGAAATCGCATCATATGACCCCTTTAATGAGGTTTGATAAATATCTCTGGTCTGGAATATCAAATCCACTCAAGACCAGGTCAGTGATGGATATACTAGTCATTGACGGGGAAGGTGGTCCATTTAAATGAGCTCTGTATCCTGTCTGACTAATCTCACTAAGACCTTGATGGGGTTGAATTGCACCTCTCCTATGAGGCACGTATGAGGATCAACTGAAGTCTGGGATGCTCTCAATGTACAATTGAAATGCAATAGCTTATTTTGCCTCTAGAGGGCGAACTTAATCGCTGCAAATCAAATGCAGAGTACGATGCATGTATATCTTTCTAGGCTGCTGGAGGACTATCTTCAGGCTATAGAAGGCGTCAGAAAGAATCTATTGAGACAGACTTCTCCTAGTAAACTGACCTTTGTTGGGGAGCTGTCCAACGGCCGTCTCAATCCCAAAATGGTGAGTCATAACTTCACCTCATTTCTGCCACCTTGTCGTTCTAAAAGGAATTGTTCACCAAAAAAATGAAAATTATTTTATTATTTGCTCACTCTCGTGTTGGAAACAGTAAAAAATTACAGATTTGGAACAACATGAGGGTGAAATACATAATGCCAGAATTTTCATTTTTGGTTGATTTATTCCTTATGTGGTTGAGTCTATATACGACCGGTATCTGTTCCTATAATCTCCAGGCTTAAATCTTGATACAAATCTTTAAGCAAAATCTTATTTTTTTTTAAATAGAAGAGTTTATTAGATAAAATCTAAAAAATAATAATAGTAATAATAAAATACAAAATGTGTGTTAAATTATTTTTTTTTTTATGAGTATATTTCATACATAAAGAAAATATGGAGCTCATACTCGAGGAAAAAAAACACAATTTTTATTCAGAGAACCAAACTGAGCACAAATATGTAATTTGGTGCAGTTGCTAATATTTATATGGTCAAAAAGTAAGATAAAATTCTGATAACTTGTAATGTAAAACAATAAGGTCTTTATAGTATGTAGCATACTATGCATACAGTAAAATATAATTTGTCATTCTATCTACCAATAATAATAGTCTTAGTAAGATTATATTTAATTCATATTTTTATCATCAGAGCTCTTTAGTTTTAATTGTGCATATAATGCAATGCAATACAAAGATGAGTAAGAGATATACAAATAAAAATTCCTCAAAAAGCCTCATGTATCATATTTTATACTCACATTTTTACATGATTTTTCTAAAAAAAAAATGATGTATGGATAATGAAGTAAACCAAAGTTGCTTCAGTCCAGTAAGGGTTCATCTTGGATTATTACTAACAATACAAATTTACTTTATACAAATCATTAAAGATCTCACAGCAAAAAGGCACATGTACCACAACATGAAGGTGGACATTTTTAGAATTATACTAAAAGGCCTTTTTCGTGCTAAAAAACTATGAACTATCAATCAGACAACAGAAGGCATGTAAAAAATTGTGAACATCAGGTTTTTCAAGTTTTGGTCATGTTGATAATTATCAGCCTTATAATTTTGCGTATCAAATATGATACAATAGGCTTTACAGGGTTAATCTCTTTCTCCATCACAACACTCTCTCTGTCTGATCCAGGATCATTTGGTGTGTTTTCTTCCTGGCACGCTGGCTCTCGGTGCTCACAACGGCCTGCCCGCTGATCACATGGAGCTGGCTCTGCAGTTGATGGAGACGTGTCATCAGATGTATGCGCAGATGGAGACGGGCCTGAGCCCAGAGATCGCTCACTTTAACCTGCAGTCCAACAACGGACGGGACATCGATGTGAAGGTACATTAACCTGTACAATCACCACTTATTTCTGACAATAAACCCCCTGAACGTTTGGAGCCGTGGCCTTAAACTGCTGATACAGGTTTTGGAATGGGTCCATCTTTCATTTTCTCTCCATTGTGTAAAAATAAAATGGTAATAAGCCCCCCAAATAGTGCAGAAACTGTGTTCAGACTCTCCAATCAAGGCCTTTGTGTTTATCTTTTCTAGTATCTGTTCTGAAGAACAAAAATATTTCTGCGCTTAGCACTGATGAGGATGACTTTTTAAAAAAGTTGGTGCCCTTTTACATGAACAGATATTTTTTTCTCTCTCAATCTGTGTGTGTAGCCTGCAGACAGACACAACTTGCTGAGACCTGAGACTGTTGAGAGTCTGTTCTACATGTACAGATTCACCAAGGACAGCAAATACAGGGACTGGGGTTGGGACATACTGCAAAGTTTCAATAAGTACACCAGAGTGAGTGAGAAATGCAAAGTAATTTTGGTCTACATGACAAGAAGCCAAGTGTATATCTATCATTTTGTAAATAGCACATTTTTCAAAAAATCGGAGACAAAAATATAACAACTCTTGGGGAAAAAAAACTAATAATAAAAGGAGAATATATTTATCTTTTTATTTTTATATATATTTTAAATGTATTTTTATTTATTTTTCTTATTATAATTGTTATTTTAGTGTTATATACCATTACAATATTTATTGATATTTTGAATTAATGTTTTATTTTCGGTTTTCATTTTAAATTTAGTTTAAGTTTTAAGAATTTTGTTATGTGCTTTTGTAATTTTTATTATTTTTTTATGTAGTTCTATTAAGATTTAATTTGCTTTTATTTCAGCTTTAGTTCAACTCCTTTTATTCTAGTTGCCAAGGTAACATTGCTAATTTTTCTTTTAAGTTTGAGTTTTTCATTGTATATATAGTATCAGTATCAGTTGATTTTGGAAATCTATTGCACAGTACTAGATATTTATTTGGGCAGCTACATCTAATGCTCACTTAAAGTTAATATGTAAAACACTGATAAATTTATACTAGTGTATTTATACTAGTAAATAAATACTAGTAAGTTATACTAGTAAAGTTATACTGGGGGCGGGGGGGAGGAATAATATAGAATTTTAATATAATCCATTTATTGGTAATCAGCCATAAAATGACAATTATTTGTCTTGTTGGTCTCCGTCAGAAGCATTTCAATGCCCAATAAACACAAACTTGACTTCTTTACTCGGTTCCTGTCCCAGGTCCCCAGCGGGGGCTACACCTCCATAGGTAACGTCCGTGACCCCTTGAACCCTGCGCCCAGAGATAAGATGGAGAGTTTCTTCCTGGGTGAGACGCTAAAGTATCTCTTCCTCCTGTTCTCTGATGACAACGAGCTGATCAGTCTGGATAAGTACGTGTTCAACACCGAGGCCCATCCGCTGCCTATATGGCCCTCCACCTCATGAGGGCGGAGGCCAGAATTAAGCTAATCCTCACTTGCAGTGATGTTGGCTTCAACAGGAAAGGATGCAGGCTTTCACAGGAAGTGACCTTCTCTGCAGTGAGTTACTCAAGTGAGCAGGAATGTTTCTGCTCTAAACTGAGGTGGCAGGTTACGCACCGATCTTTAACTGTGCATTTGAGATTTATTCAAATGCTGTGACACTCTTTATTCACCCAGAAGATTTGGATTCACCCAGATTTGGTGGCGGTTTTATGGGTGGTGAAATATCACAAATATCGTTCCCAATTTTTACTTTACAAGACTTCATTTACCTTTGAGCTCATGGGACGCCTGAAAAGTGTGACACTCTTGCATGTTGGACAAGCCCATTCAGCTGCCGCAATTTTTAGATGTTCCATCTTCCATATTTTGGAAAGAAACATTAGTGTCAGAGTGCTGTAAATCACACGGCAGACTGCTGAAATCACACACTGTGAAAAACACAAAGCACTTTGTAAAATGAAGACTTCTTTTTCTTTTTTTTTTGTTAACATTGTTCTTTCTATGTGTACAGATGGATGCTCTCGATGTGAGTGGCTCGCCTTTATTTTTGCAGGCTGTTACAAAAGGACTCTACGTGTCAATTTCTAAATGTTTCCCTTTTGTGAGAGTCAGGATGCATTAGGGAACATATTGAGTACTTTACAGATCATCATCTCGAGATTTATTTGGGAACCTTCTGGGATTGTGTATTTTTCTGTTATTTATGTTGACTTTAGTGTGCGTACTTCAGTGAATGTTAATGATTTGATGTAGTGAATGCCGCCCGAAGCCCTGCTTGAAATGCTGCACTGTAGATTTACTTTATTATTTACAAATTTTGGAAGCTGTTGTGCGGCACTGGATGCTACATTTAGCTGAACTGCATTCAGATGTGTATATATGTTAATTTATTCATTCAAATTTCACAGCAAAACTACATTGAAAACTTTGTTTGAAGGTTAAACTGTCTGATCAACAGTCAACATCACATTAAAGCTACAAAATTTCCCTTGTCGTATTGGAACACAGTGGTAATTTATATCCCCATGCTGCCATCTGTTTCAATATGTTTGATGATTGTAGAGATTAAATTAATCATTCACCCAACAATGAAATGAAAACACCATCATTTACTTGATCCAAACCTGAAATACTTTTTTTCTGGGCAATTCTGAATGAATTTCTCCTTTAATGTTCCACAAAAGAAAGTTTTACAGGTTTGGAATGACATGAAGGTGAATAAATAATCACAGAAATTTCATTTTCAGGTGAACTGTTGGTGTACAAATCCTTTATGTAGGTCCTTTTTTTGGTCTGATTTTTCCAGTTTGTTTCAATGCTTGGAAACTCATATGCGCATCACTGTTCTGTATCACCTGTTGAGTTTATCTGCACTGTCAAGTGCTTGTTTCTCCTATCATCTCATGTGTCTTTGGTCAAACAGCAGTCATCCAATCAAAACATCCAGGCTTTCAGAAGCTGTCAAACTAGCACAAAATAATCCTTCATGTGAAACAATCCATTTTCAGGGTGATTGACATTTGCATTACAATATGTCTGTTCCGTGTCACATTCCTCTTGCTGCTTCTAGTGATACGGTGTCAAAATCTGCATCCCTTGTGCCTTTCGATTTATAGAATACAGAGTGATCGCATGATAATGAGCGATTTCTCCCTGATTGCTTCTCTCGTCTCTTTGCTGCAATCAGTGGTTTGTGATTACCGTTTGTGCTGGTGAGCGAGTGTTAAATGAGTGGACACAGATCTGATGAGGGTTTGTGAAGGTCATGTTGTGTTAGATGTATAATTTAATATCCTGCACAGCTGAGCTGTTTTTCATAATGGTAAAGATGCGAGCAGGTCTCTGAGGTTGTTGACATTTGTAAAGTATAAAAATAAATCAAAAATGAACTAAAACAAGTTAAAGCATTAGTTCGCGCAAAAATTAAAATTTGCTTAAAATGTACTTCTCCTCATGCCATCCAAGATGTAGATGAGTTTTTCTTCATCAGAACAGATTTGGAGAAATTTAGCATTACATCACTTGCTCACCAATAAATGAATGGGTGCCGTCAGAATGAGAGTTCAAATAGCTGATAAAAGCATCAGAATAACCCATGAGTAATCCACATGACTCCAGTCCGTCATAAAGACGTTTTTAACTTTTAAACCGTTCCGGTTCTCTATTCATAATATTGCTTTCTCCAGTGAAAATGTAATCTTGTCTGAATCAAGAGAGAAATATGCACAGATCAAGCACTGTTTATAAGCAAAAACAGTTCTAAACCAATATGTCAGTGGATTTTGTTGTGATAGGATGATAGAGGATAAAGTTTTTTCACTGGAGGAAGTGTCATTATGGATTATGGGCTCGTATTTTGGCCAGAAGCGATGGTTGATTAGCTGTTTGAACTCTCATTCTGACGGCACCCATTCACTGCAAAAGATCCATTGGTGAGCAAGTGATGTAATGCTAAAGTTTTCTAAATCCATTCCAATGAAGAAATTCATTTTTGGGTGAACTATTCCTTTAATAGCCATTGACATGAGCATTTGTTGTTATTTTGTTTGGGGTTCTTTTTGGCTTTACTTGCCTTTAATTATTCATTTTTTATTTAAAAAAAAAATTATTTCATTGAATTTTCATGTAGTGAAATGAAGTCACCAATTTATCACATGCAATTGCAATATGGCACCTTTGAGATTGCATATTATACAATGTATATTTCTAGTTTCCTAACAAAAGGGAACTCTTTCTAGCCTATAGTGTGATTATGCATACTTTTTCATGTTATTTAAATTATGCATAATATTACATATTCATTATTTAAAATCTATGACAAAAAATGCTATCCTGCCAAATGACCCCTTTGGAAGTGGATGCTACATGAATATTGTAAACATTGTCCTTGTAAATACTGTTTGAAAAACCTGCCTTGCTACATTCGAAAATATTTTGTTCATCAGTATTTTGTCTTGTGTTCCAGTAAAAACATCCTTAAAACGAGATACATTTACTTGATAAGCAAACGATAAGGAAGACCCTTTCAAGAGAATATTTCTTGAATTAAGTTTTCTTACACTATTAAATATAATAAAGAACAATTTGTCAAAAAAATAAAGTTAATTCAAAATATATTCTTCTAACACAAATCAACATAATGCACAAAGCAATTTTGCTTCTCAAGTAAGTTCTTGTTTTAAGGATGTTATTTATTTATTCAATATATATATATATTTTTATTTTTTTTTTACTGGAAAAGAAGATGGCTATGTCTTGGCTATAGAAGCGCATTTGTAGTTTTGTTGTTGTATTTTGCACTACAGTTAAAGTGCAACTTTTTTGTGTATAGTCTTGTAACTATTCCTACATTGACACATAAAACCAACAAGCAGAAGTTGTCCGTGTTCTTTTTAACAAATGCAGAGGCAAGCAATACAGAGCCTGACATCTACTCAGATCCCTACCTCAGCCATGCACATGTTATCTCTGATCCCACTCGGATGCCCATTGCAACCAGGGTAGAAACAGCACTGAGAATTTCCAATTTCCGCTGTAAACATTTTCTGTTGCTGACTTGTGAGGGTTTTCAGTCATGCACTTTCTTGGTTGCCGATGTGAGGAAATCAGACTCCTCTGACCTGTCTGCAGAATGTCAATGTCGTGTTCGCTCATGCATTTATGATAAAGAACTGCTGTCCAGAACTACTTTACATCACAACTTCCCATCATCTGAGAGCTTCAGCATAAGGAGAATTAAAATGTTTTACTCTTCCAGACTCAGAAAGTTAATGTGCCATTCTTCTACATATGTATTATTATTTAAACATTAACATATAAATCTAAATTCATTATTTATGGTTAAACTTAAACACAAACTTTTGGTTTTGAGAGCCAGTGGCTTGTTTATATCCCAGAGCAGAGCCTGAGAATTACAACTCAAATTTATCCACTTGTTTGGTCATAAAGCTGGTGGTCTAGTTGAGGAATACCTGACCTGATATGGTCAAATTGTTCCCAGAGTTCACAGCTTGAGCATGGCCAATTTTCTGCATGACGGCGAAGTGTGACAGACCTGCGGCCGCTACCTCTCCAGCACAGAGAAACTGCTGTATAATTGCTTCCCTTCTCATCAGGACTGTTCCTACCTCTTCAAACATCATGGCCTCTGTTGGCTCCACTGAGAAAAGGGCACCAAAATAAAGGAAGATGACATTTGTCTTATAAGTTTAGTCATAGTCATATGAATTGAATGAATGCTGGAGCATTAATTGGATGTAGTTGTTTTGTTTTTTGTTTTTTTCCTAACATGGTTGACATCTTTTATGTGTTTGCTTGCATTGTTGTTTCGAATTCATAATATTTTCTAGCATATTTTTCAAAGGAATAGTTCTGTTTTGGACTGTCTTTGCTTGCAAACAGTGCTTGATATGTCCATATTTCTCTCCTGATTCAGACAAGACACCTTTTTTACAGGAAAAAGCAATATATTATGGATAAAGGACTTATATTTTAGCTGGAAGCAAGGGTTTGAAGTTAAAAAAGGTCTTAATGATGAAGTTGTTTCTGACAAACGTGCAGCTTTTCACTTCACAAGACGTTAATTGATGGACTGGAGTCATGTGGATTACTTGTGGATTATTGTGATGCTTTTATCAGCTGTTTGAACTCTCATTCTGACGGCACCCATTCACTGCAGACGATCCATTGGTAAGCAAGAGATTTAATGCTACATTTCTTCAAATCCGTTCACATGAAGAAACAAACTCATCTACATCTTGGATGGCCTGAGTAAATTTTCAGCAAATTTTTGTTTGGGGTGAACTAATCTTTTAAAATAGGTTTATCTGATCTCAAATTTCTTAGAGCTCATAATGTGGTTTATTTGTTACCCTAAATCAATTTTTCTATGGATACATAAAAGGATTTTTTTACTTCTAGACATGACTTGCTCTTTGTCATCTGAGTTACATTCACCTGAGTGGAACACAGGCACTTGGAAAGGGAAAGGGAATTCTTTGGCATTCTAATGATCTGTCCCTTAATAGCAACAGCTAAATGTCCTCATTAAAATGATAAATGCTCACTTTTAGCCAGAGGTTTACAGTTGTGTGGGTGTGATGAGAGGGAGTTAGACAGACTCTAGGGTGCGGTTATGGGGTAAACACAAAATTCCGCCAGTATTCCAGCTGACTTGGGTACTTGGAAATCCGTGTGGAGCTGCGGGTGAAATGAGGGACACATTATTGAAAGCTTGCAAACTGTCTGAAAGCCCTGGGCTAATGAGCTGAACTTTGAAGGATCCTTTTTTAAACAGCAGGGAAGGAGTAGATGTATTGGTAGCCTGGAAGAAAAGTTTACAGTGTATTTAAATTGTTCTCTTTGACAGTCTCTCTGTTAAGGTGTGTGAGAGCTGTACGAGTTTCTTCTGTTGAGAACAAAAGAAGATATTTTGTAGAATGTTGGTAACCAAGTTGATGGTAGCCATTGACTTTCATAATATGGAATTACCAGCATTCTTTAAAATATATTCTTGTTCAAAAGAAGAAAGAAACTCATGCAGGTTTGGAACAAGTGGAGGGTGAGTAAATGACAAGAGAATTTTCATTTATGGGTGAACTATCCCTTTAAATTTCTTTGATTTCAGACCCACTTCACGTCCCTACTACGCAAAACTCAAAATGCATGATTTATTGTGAGTTCAGAAGTATATGCATTAATTTAAAAAGTTTCCATTACAGTAAATTGTCAGGAACGATTAAACAGAAGGAAAAGATGGTCGATTTTGGTGTCCTTCTGGGAGTAAGCGTTAATGGGCAACTAGCACTCGTAACGTCGGACTAAAAGGGTTTCGGATATTGAAATGGGAATCTTCCAGACAGAGGGAGGAGGTGCTTTCAGATTTCAAGGTGAATGGAGGGAAGGACAGAATGAGAGTCGGGGACTGACAGCAAGACAGAGAGAGATGTTTTCACCTGCTATATAAGGAGGTGGAAATTATTCTAAAAATCAGTTCACTCATGCAGAGAAGCACCGACTTCCTCCTCCTGGTGCAGGTACGGCTAGATCAACTGTTTGTCTGAAGAGGGCCTTTGGTGCGTGGGCTGTATGCGTCACATACGGTCCCCGGTGGTCTGACAGCAGCTCCACAGGGACGGCCTGTCGGACTGACGATTATAAGCTAACGATAAACACAGCAGCTCTCAGCTGAGCTGGGGAGCT